CCCCAAAACCCCAAAACCCCAAAACCCCAAAACCCCAAAACCCCAAAACCCCAAAACCCCAATCCTCGATCTCGACGTTGAAATAGTAAATTTTTAGTTATAATTAAATAAAATATGGAGATAAGCAGAGAAGTTGGAAGCTCAGAAGTACTAGAAATCGCGGGAATTCAGCTTGACTCTAAGCATTATGAAAGTAATGCAGGTCTTGACCAAAGTAAAGAAAGGGCTAGTCAAGAGCGAGCAGAGAGAAATAAATACGAGGATCTGGTGAAATCAACTCCTAATCAAGATGAAGAGGAGAGTGATAACTCAGATGAGGAAGTCAAGTACAGTGGCCAAAATTTAGACCCAGTCGTCAGTTCTATATCTGTGTCATCAAGGCCTCTTAAAACATTTGAGAATGGAGATACTTATGAAGGAGAATGGGATACAAACGGAGAATTTAGCGGTCAAGGAACATACACATATGCAGATGGAGGCAAATATCAAGGGCAGTGGCTTGGTGGAAAAGAGCATGGATTTGGAAAAGAAATATATGGTAAGTTTATTTATTCTAAACGCTTCATATCTCAAGATCTATCATCTCTCTTATATTTATCACCAAGATTGTGATAGTCAATTAAGCTTATATGTCTTTAATAATTTTCTTTTATTGCCACCAAAATGTCTTATTATGAGATATAAGTTTATCGAATTGATTGGTAAACAAATCAATGCTATTGCATAAAATCTCAAATCTAACTTTGCAACAGCAAACAATAATGAATACTGTGGAGAATTTAAGCACGGCCAGAGAGATGGTAAGGGTGTTTACATTTTCACCAATGGAGAGTCCTATGAAGGAGAATTCAAGAATGGTCAATATCATGGTAAAGGGACTATCAAATATCCCAATGGTGACACGTACGAAGGAGACTGGGTCGATGACCAGAAACATGGCAAGGGAATTCTAACCAGCAATGGTTCTATCCCTTTCAAATATGAAGGGGATTTTAAAGACAATGAAATCACCGGCTTTGGTAAGCATACCTTCAACAATGGAGATTCCTATGAAGGAGAATACCTCAACGGCCTCTTTCATGGCAAAGGGAAATATACCTTTCAGAATGGGGAGTCTTTTGAAGGAAATTGGGAAAATAACAAGTGCCAAGAATCTCCTGATTCAACTTCATCTTTTAATGAAAAGCATGGAGAAATTATCTATGTTGATGCAGAAGGCAACAAATCAAAGCATGTTTTCAAGAATGGTGTATTTCAGCAAAAGTCTTTCCTAAGCTGGCTCCTCTGTGGATAATTAATTGGAAAGCATAAACCGAATGATAATGCATATTAAATTTGTGTCTAAAGCAATTCGAATTATTTTTGTAGAAATTTTGAATCTTTAAAATAAATTTAGTAGAACGGATACTTTCACTCAGTAGCTTAATCTAAACTTGAATATTTCAATTTAAAAGCACCAACTAGGGGTTTTGGGGTTTTGGGGTTTTGGGGTTTTGGGG